GCAAACCATTGTTTGGTTTTTGTCTGTTCTTGGGCTATCTTTCTGGGGCTACTATTTAGTGAAACATGGCGGTTAACATGGGTGCCCTCCGTAAAAGACGAACCCACTTCCTCTGTAGATAAAAACTGCTTCATTCTTAGGTAACGAAAACACAAACAATTCTTCAACAGGTCGATTATACACTAATGAAAAACGTATCTGTGATATTATATTCCCATTTCACCAATAGATCCTCCTAAATTGTTACACACTGCGACCTTTTTAGCCCTCAGTGTTTCCTCATCTGTTATTAATGTATTACTTTACTATAACCACTTGCTCATATTGTGGTCCTCACCTCTTGCGAACTGCAGTGCTGCCGCTGGCCAGTAGATGATGGAAGGGTACTTGTCGAACACGCGTCCTGGGCACCCGGCCAAATCAGGAGTTTTCGTTATGGAAGGTCTTTGGGGGGAATGCGGACAGACGAAGAAGCGTGGGGTGGACCACGGCCATGTCACACTCGTCTGCTTCACACTCCTTCCTCTTGTGACACCCAATCTGGAGCAAAGGAGGGTAGGGTTAAAAGTTTAAACGCCCCGCAAGCAAGCAAACTGGGTAATTAGAGTCGTTTCAGTGTACTATGGATGCAGGAATGGAGTGCATTAACAGTGAAACAGGCAGATGAGGAGTAAACACCCATCGCTTGTGCGCATGTAGTCAAGCCTTGGAGGAAAACATCGAACTACATTCTGCTTTGCTTGTTTCACACACTTCAAAACAGAGTCCCGTCTGCCCAGCCCTCTACCACACACACAACACTACTACACACACACACACTACACACAACACACTTATTACACACAACACACACACACACTCACACACACAAATGGGCAAAATATTATTATTGGTATTACACTTTAATTCAACATGCAAAGAAAATTAAAAAAGAAACGGGTCTTCAGTTAAACAACTCACTAAAACAACACTAAGTGAAACACAAGGATCCTATGGTCATTACAGTTTTATTTTTACATGTTCCAGCAGTAAAGACCGCTCGTGTGAGCATCCGAGAACAAGTAGAAAAATCACACGAATATAAAATTGCTTTTCCTTTTTGTAAATCCATTCCTCTCTCTCCTTGTCAAACGTTCCCCCTCAACGCAATCCTTCATCCTTTTCCCTGTCTTTCCCCTTTTTATCTATCCCTCTGTACCTCTTTCTCTTCTGTCTCTCTCTCCTCTCTTTCTCTCATCTGTTCATTTAGGAGGTGTCTAATGTAACTAGTCCAGTGACTTATAGGGAGCTTACTCTACCTCACCGTGGCCAATCGAGTGATATGATTGTGTGTGTGGTGTGTGTGTGCTGGTGTGTGTGCTGTGTGCTGTGTTCCTGATTACTGGCCTCCTGGGTTTCATCTGTGCGCTTCTCTGCCCTTCTTGACCGTAGCGGCGAGGGTTTAGATGGGCACTCAGGCTGGGTGTGAGGCCAGGAAGAAAGTCGTAGAGCTCAGGTGTGTTTGCAACTCTGACAGCACGTGACCGAACCCACGTGGATGAGCCAGGACAGGGGAAGCGAAGATGTTTCCCACCTCGCGCTCTAAAAAGAAAAAGGCAAATGTCATACAGAGATGTAACACACCCAAATAACACACACTTCCTGCTTAAATCATTTTTTAAATTTTATCTTAACATGAAAACGTAACAGAGTTAACAATCCAAGATTGTCTGTTTGGGGTCCAGAAAATTAAAAATATATAACAACATCAGCTAGAATTAAAGCGACCAGTGTGTGGGGATTTACTGGTCTATCTAGTGATGAGATTGTAGATTGCAAACCGACTGAAACCCTTTCACTCAACCAAGCCATGATGAAAGAAAACTACGGGTGGTCATTGAAATTTTGAAGAAAAAAAAATCTATCTATATAATCTCATAGCCAGTGTTTGTTAGTCCATTTTGAGGCTACCAGTAGAAACATCACAGTTAAAACATCCTGAACTACGTAGAACGAGGATCTGCTCCCTCTGTAGGATAAACAAACGTCAACAAACTATTCTTATTTCTAAGATGATATATACACTATGCAAAAATACCTCTGAATATTATATTTCTGCAAACAGATCCTCCCTCATATGCTTACACACTGTGGACATTAAAACATAAAACACTTAAAATCACAAAATAAAGATGTCTAGTAGGATATTATGCAAAATATATGGGCAGATTATTTCTTTTTTTCTATTCTTCCAGGCAGGCTTGTGGTTTTCAGTTAATCTCAGTTTGGTACGTGACGAATCTACTTGAGAAAGGATCACATCACAATCATCACACAGAGCAACAGTATCTCCAAGTTGATTTTCACTACTTGTATCAAAATGCAATAAAAACCAGTGGCTTGGGAGAGAGGAAATCATTTTTGAACAAAACTAATAGGGCTCAGCCAAGGTGGCTGTTACAGTAGAAGGGATTTTAGTCAAGTGGGATAAAAGATCTGGCTTAACATTACCAAAAAGACGCCTCCTGAATGAATTCAGGCGTACTACATAATGGAAAAAAAGGTCACGATACTTTGAACACTAGTAATGTTTCAAGGCTCCACATATGCTGACGATCCTTTCCTTTAAAAAAGGTTTTTTCCTTTTAAAAACATTTAGTTCTCCGACGCATCAAAGGATTGGGCTTAATCCAACATTGAAACACTGTGTTGGCAAGAGCTCATCAATTTCCTAAAGGAAAGTACCATATTGCATTGGCTGTTTATAGCCTTCCCAAGCTTGTCCTTCTGGTCTTTCCTTTTGTTGTGTGCTAAATCGTACAATTATGCAAGATTACCTTCTGACAGAGAGTCTTCAATGATGAAGGAATGTAAATTGAGATATCTTAGTGGTTAGTTGAATAGGAATATTGGATAGGAAGAAAGGATGGTACAAGGGGGAAGGAGTACAAGTGAAAAGAAGTCTTGGGGAGTGACGGACCGGGGGGGGGGGGTGTAAAGAGAGGGTTGTCGGAGCACAAGGGCCAGGGGAGCATGATGTGTTGCAGAGAGGGAATAAAGAGATAAATGAAGTGGTAGTAAGGAGGTAAAATAAAGGAACAAAACAGATGTGGAAGCAGGAGAAAAAGGGAAAGAAGAAAAGAAGCAGAGATAAGAGGTTAGGGGAAGTGGAAGTGCTCACAAAAAGGAGCGTTCTTAACTTTGAAGTGGGGTGTTGTTTATCCTGACGTTCTCCTGCGAGTGGAATGTCTGGGTTTTTTGGTGCCTTTTTGTGTTTGTGAGAGCTTGTATGTGAGCAGACAGGTAATTTGCAAATATGGAGGTTGCCAGCACAGCATCAATTATGAACAGGCAGCAAGACAGCAAAGGTACTGTAGACGCAGGTGTACACACACACACACAC